TTTCCCTTCTTTTGCACGTACACAAAACTTACCATGCTCTGTAATGCAGAGGATTCCTCTTCACAGATATTCATACAGCAATTTTTGTTATGCTGAACTACCCATATAGCAAACCACTGTTTAATCCTCCCTTAGTTCTTCCCTGGCTGAACACATCACACATCACACAAAGTATCTGTTTGTTTGAGTAGTATCCACACAATGCTGCAAGAATCCACTTCAACCATCTTTCACACTAAGCAGGTAAGAACTGAAGATGTAAGCAAGACATTTGAACCTCTTTGAAGTATTTCTCACTTGTTCCATAAAGCTTCATTTATATTACTGAAGTTAAGACAGCATGCTTCCTTGATATAGTATCATCTGAAATAAAGATCCTCCAACTTTGGAATTTGCTCCTGTTCCCTGGGCTTTCAGCCCATGGATGCTTGCTGGTAGACTACTGTGTAGATTTACCCACATATTGAAACTATGAATTTAAACATGGCATAATCAAGAAAAATAGGGCTATATTTAATAGGGCGAGGAGAGTTAATCTGATGTCTTGGTAACAGTGAATTATACCAATGAAAGAACATTACATTTCTGCAGGTTTTAGATTATAAATAAAAACATATCAGCACTAACACAGAAAACTTTTGTATATGCTGTCATAATACATTTTACATTAAACAAAAAAGAAAAATATTAAAAATGCTTTATTACCTTTGCTGCAGCTATAGTGTGCTCAGGTTTAATTATTTTACTTTTGCTCTCAAAAGCATTTGTCCTGGCTTCTTCTGCTAGCCGATGGAGAAACAGTAAGAAGTTCAAATGCACCTTTAAAATAGGGAAGGGCGGGGGGGGAAAAAAAAATAAAAAATCAAGGATTCAAACTGTTTAAGCACAGTTTGGGTTTTTAGAGGTTCATTGTTCGAGACAGAACATTCACATGTTCGACTGCTTCCAAATTCCTGAAAGGTGTTTTCAGGAAAACAAAGAACCACTCAGTTCAAGTCTTAATAAATTCCCAAGACATTCCTTACTGCAAGACTCTTGTAAATATAGTTTAAATTTAGTATACTTAAATTGCAAAAGTGCTCTAGAAATGATCATACAAACAAAAACTGATCTAACAGAAATAAAATCTGATTTTTAGTAGCAGGTTTTTATAATAAAATGTAAACATAAATGTCAGAGAATAAGAAGGAACCTTTTTGCTTACTAGTAAATATAGTCAGCTTTCAGTGACTACAACGGCCGGACTTTTAATGAACAGCAAATTCATCCCTGCCTTATCACCAAATGGACCACAGACAAGTTCAAGGACTTCTGCCCCTTCCCAGTGCAAAGGAGCATTGACATTAATTTCTCCAGAACAAGAAATTCTCCACTGTCAGGAGGTTCCATCCATTTTTTCCCAGCTCATCACTTACTTAACCTTTTTACATGAAAAGAACTGGTGGGGCAGTATTCTGTTCAACACAGAATGCTGCTCTGCTAGTACAGAAGCAGCAAAAATTTCAGCAGGCAAGAAACTGCTCCAACTTGGACTAAAAACCTGACAACGAAAAGCACCCCTGTGTAATAAGGGACCTGTAATACAAACCTCTAGCATTATACAGACATTATGTGAACTATTTTAATAGTCCAACCTGAAAATTGGTAATTGCACCTTTGTAAATTAAACTTTCAAACAATATTAACTTTGCTATGTAAAGTGTACAAAAATACTTTTTCAATGAAGAGCTCAGAAAAATATTACTGAAATACAGGAAAAATTTATTTATATGAATTAGGTGATATATTTATTCTGCCACACCTGATCTGCAAAGCCTAGAAAGATATAACACGGAAAGTTACAAGTTAGATTTTATAGGAAATACTTTGGCAGTGGGTTTGAAGCACAAAGAATCTGTTAGAAGACAGGCATTTCAGTGTTCATATGACAAGCAATTTAGGTTTTTTTTTTAATCTCCTGAACTAAATTAAGCCAGTGTGCAATAGATAAATTTACATAATATTTGGCATCGTTTGGAAGCACCTACTACACAAAAAAGCAGATGTTCTTGCAGATTTATTTAGCAAAATATCAAAGCCATTTTTAAAGTAGTCTTTAGTTACTCACACAGAACTAATCTCCAACAGAAGCAAGCAGTGGCACTAAAATAGTGTTCAACATTAGAAGTCTCATTATTAGACTTTATCAACATGGAAGTTAGATTTCTGGAAACAACCCAGGGGAGAAGAGGGAGGTGGAACAAAAGCTTCCATACTTGCAAGTCCTCCTACTGAGATACCTAAAGGCAAAAGTGTTAATTTTAAAACTGCCTTTAAAAACTGCGTCTTCTCTCAGAATCACTGTACCTTTATTTTCCTGTTTTCAAAGTGAATTGCTACATGTGGAGAAGCTTCCTCTGAACTCCTACGGATTTTAACATAGTCACATAACTAAAATCAGAACATTCCACAATAAAGCACACATTAATAAATATTCCAGATTATTGAAGGCAATTGAGAAAGGCTAACGAAAGGCAGAATGACTGAATATCATGAATGGGACAGTTACTAACAAGTACCTAAGTGATACCACATTTGTTCCAAGACATTGCTTTACTACGTATTAGATTATTGTCCCTCTGCATAAAATTTAAAAACAGTTTTGAACTACTCATGAAAACCACCTTACACAACAGAGTACTTATTTTCCATAAAAGAAAGGCTGCAAAGTTTTAAGAACGTATGTAAAAACTCACAACACTGCTTGCAGAGCAGCTTCCACACACCTGTTCAACAGAACTAATAAATAGTAGGGACAAGCTCCTTAATTTTGTTTTGCTGCCATAACTTCAGAACAATTCTTTAGGCTGATCTTTTGCCTTCCATGTACACTTATTCATGATGACAACAAAGAAAAAAGAGGTCATTCAATGCAATACTTTAAGCTTTTCCTGCAATGTAAATACAAACGTGCCCTTCTAGCATAAAACAAGCAGCTGAGTTCCTACTTTTCTTCCATAATTTCAAGCCGGAGCAAAGTTTGCAGCTTTTTCTTCTCAGACCATTGGGGAGAGGGAGGATATCTGAACTTCAGTACTAAAATCTTCACCTCTTATTTTCAGAAAGGTAAATAATTAAGTTCTAAGAGCATTGGAAAAACCTTAAAACACTATTCCTATCTTTTAGGAGATATCTTAGGACATATAATGTCTTAAGATATTATAACAGTCCTTCAAAAAAACAGCTTCTTGGGAAAGTTTGATGAAATCTGTTAGCTTCACTGTGCACAGAGAAAGATGTTAGCACTTAGGAAATAGGTTCTGACAAAGCCTCAAATTTCAAAGAGTCTTGATCAAAAGAATCTGAAAAGTGAAGAAGAAACTCCATCCAGGTACTAAAAAAAACTGTCTGAATTCTTATGTCTTTCAAACTTGTTAGTAACGATCAGGTAAGAAGACATTGGTTTATCGAGGAAAAATAATAGATGAAGGTTAGGAAAAGGAAAACAATTTGATTATGTCATAAGCCAGGTAGGCAGACCTCCTCACTGGACTGGCTAAGGTAACACAGTAAGCTCAAACATAAAGCATGGATCATTCAGGAAGATAGCCAAGAAACTGAACTAGCCAATTCTCGTATTTCCCTGCAGAAGACACCAGCACTCTGCTCAAAATATATATGGTTTCGTCTTGTTAAGAGAGCTGCTACATCAATTTCTGAAGTACACAATCTAATCAGTCTTACGCAGTTTGTAAGGAATAATGGAGACACTAAAAAACATACTGTCAAAACTTACTTGTCTAACTACAGGACTAAACTACCCCTCCCCCCCTTTTTTTTGTTAAATAAAGTAAAACTCCAGTTGTGTTGATTATTTATTCATAGAAATAAAGAGCTAAAGAGTTGTTAGCCACATGCCTAGTTGAAGAACATCATGGACAATCACCACCCCTGGACATTCCTGTTTAAAGGTAAAATAAAAAGGCCAAGCCTCATAACATTAAAGGACATTTAATTTGACATCACCAGAAGAGATAATCTAAGCTTCCACCACATTATTAAAATTCATTCTCATCTCACCCTTTGTGTTGGAATGAGTATTTGCATAGCCATATTTTAAGCTAGATCAGATTGTTGTTGTTCATTAGTTTCAGTCAATTCAATTCACTGATTGTCTTTGCAGCCCACAGAACACTAGTGACAGGACAAGGAAGACATGGGAACCAATGGCCAAGATTTGGAAGGATGTCCCACTTACCCCTTTTCAGACAGCTACAGCACCTTGAAGCCAAATTAACATGACCATGGAAACACAGACAAACTGTTACCAATGACTACAAAAAAAAAACTTACTAATGATTGTGTAAGTTTGATTAATTGACTACTGCATTCCACTGAGTATGCTTTGAGTGGGTCTGAGCATGAGTAGCAAGGGGCCAGGTCCTTTGTCCATCAAATACTCCCAAGATAGCAAAAGCAGTAGGAAGAGATCATATTTTTATTAGACCAATTAGAAAAATATGTATGGTTTACATTCAGATGTAAATCTTCTCATGTAATTACCATATTCATTCATATTAATTTCTTTTTTTTTAATTTTGTATATTTACATTTAGCTTCATATATCCAGATACCAACCTTCAAGATGCTGCAAGACACAACTTTTATACACATATGAAAAATGGACTTACAATTCAAGTCAGGGACCATACCAGTACATAATATTGCATTAATGCTCTGAGAATCACATGCATTTGAAAACAGGAGGACATGACAGTCAAGCAAGTTAAGCCTATTAAGTCACCACAAAGATTATTTTTTTATGCACAGGTTTGGTTTGGTTATTTTTTTTTTTTCAGTATGGCAGCTACCACAAACTCTCTTGAGGTCAGGTTCCCTTGCTGTAGTCGAGTACTTTCTTGGTGAGACAAACCCTTCCTGTGCTACAAATCCCTCATTGCAGATCAGAAGGAATCCAGCTTTGTTGGCCTCGGTTTTCTGAAACTTGTTCAATATGGCTCTGTTATCCCTACACCTTTATGGCAGGTGTTTTTAAACCATGAACAGGATCTCAACACCTTATTCTCCTCATTAGATTACTAACAAGAGTTGTCATTCCTTAGTTTTGGACAGAGATTACTTAGATGGCCTTCTACAAAAATATGATTGTTCAAGATACCTTAACAGCTTAGCAACTCATTAATCACAATTCAGTTGACTGGTATCTGTTACCCGAACTGTTCTACATAAACAACAAACACCTGCATGTTACAGACACGTAATCCAAATTCCTATTTCTCAGTCCATCTACATCGAACTCTTATCAACAGAAGCATGTACATGTAGTGACACAATATTTATGCATCAGCCTGTCCCTGAATCTCCAAACTCACTGTCAAAAACCTACAATACAGCAGCCACCAGCGAAGCAGAAAGCTGCTATCACTACTTACTAGCATTTTATCAGACTAACCAATCGTCTGTCTCCCCACGAATTTTGCCTCCTCTCTGCCTGTAGGTCACTGCAGAAACAGCATTAGTAGCAAGTTGACATCCCGTCACACCCAGCAACTCCAAAGCGCTGCAGTGTGCACAAGCCATCGGTCCATGTCTTTCAAGCGATAAAACATTTACAGACAAAATGTCCCTATTTAGGCACCCCTGCCCCATGGCAACCAGAATAGCTGCAGCTGCCCGCCATGGCCAAAGCACAACCGCTCCAGGCCCTGCGCTACGATCCCAGGCTCCCCGGGGGAGCACTCGTGGAGCTGGAGGATTCAGCCCTTGAGCTCGCCGCGCTGCCCGAGCGGCTGGGGACCGCAGCCGGCTGCTTGGAGCAGGCGCTGCCCCCGGCCTGTACCCGAGGAATG